CAATGATGACACTGACAAAATTTCATCAATATACCATAACTTCCAGGTAATAATTATTACTTTACGATACCCCCTCGTATATACTGGAGATACACCCTTTGTCCAAAAGAAAAGTGTGCCTTCTTATCACCATGTTTCTACCCAACTTGCCTTCTTTTGAACTCAAATCTAGCTACTATGTTCCAGACTGATATGAAGATTACACATTTTCCTTCTGTTCTTTGCAATACACCGAGCCTGCAAGTTCTGTTTAGAATTTGACAAAGATTTGAATAGATCATTTGAACTAAAGCAACCTAGCCTACCAAGGGATTGCAGAATGGCTGTACCTCTACCAATGCAGTCTCTTTCTCCACCTCATCTCTTTTTAAAAACTATTGCTGAGGAGAATTCTGTGAAAAGTTGTTAGTACATACATAGCTTTGTGTGATTTAGTTGAATCTTGTAACTGGCTTGTGGGAGTGGGTGTGTTGTTTGTTATTGTTGTTGTTGTTGTTACATTGTCCCCCCCCCCCAAAAAAAAGTTAGGGTTGCATCCACATTGCAGAAAAATCCAGGTTGACACCATTTTAACTACCATGGCTCAATTCTGCGAATTGTAGTTTTGTAAGACATTTAGCCTTCTCTGTCAGAGAGCCGATGTCACAACAAACTACAATTCCCAAAATTCCATAGCATTGAACCATGGAAAGTAAAGTGGTATCAACCTAATTTATTTCTGCAGTGCAGAAATATACTGCAGATGCAGCCTAAGATTAAATATCCACTTTGTTTGTTTTAAGATTCCTTGAAAAGATGTAGTTCCAAATGTATCCGGGTCCATTCCAGGTCCATCCCTGCTCCCAGGGGTGCTCAGCGCACCTCTTTTCGAAATTAGGGAGTTTTCCAGCTTAAGAAAATGGCTTCCAGAGTGCCCCTAGTAGCGGGGATGGACCCGGGATGGATCTGTGCGGTGGATTCGGGGGCAAAATTGCTGCAGTAATATCAGGATGCTGCCTGAATTAAAATGTAAATCGGAAGAGGTAAGCTGATTTAAAATGCTGCAATAAGCTCCATATATACATACATACACTGATTGCACATTTGGAACTACATCCTTTTTCAAGGAATCTTAAAACAAAGTGGGTATTTAATCTTAGGCTGTATCTGCAGTATTTAAGCCGATTTAAAAAGCTGTGTGATATGCTTCTATGTGTTTGCATGCACACATACAGTTTTTCTATGCTTCTGCCTTCATCTCCCTTATGTTAGATCTGCCTAACTGCTGTCATCTTTCTGATGTTATTGTTTTGGCCTAGATATTCCTATGAGAAAAAAGATGTCCTTGTTGCTCAGCCAAACATCCCTTTAAGCTACCCCATTCAAGGAGCTGAGGTGATGCCTTTACACACCATTGTAATTCCAGGTATGTCAACAATAATGGTGAAACAGTTATCAGAGAAATACACACTGAGGGAAACTTGCTAATCATGGCATTGTCTGGTTCTGTAAGACAGAAGTTCACTGGTGGAGTTGACCCAAGTTAATTTTTTGTTGTTAATTGCTACCAAGTCGACCTCGACTTATCATGACTCTGTGAATGAGAGATCTCCAAGTTCTTCTTTCATTAACTGCCTTGCTCAGGTCTTGCAGGCTCAGAGCTGTGGCTTCCTTGTTTGAACCTCTCCATCTGGAATGTGTTCTTCCTCTTTTCCTGCTGCCTTCAACCTTACTGATAAGTATCAGGTGTGTCACTAGGGGTTGCAGAGGACTCAGACTGCAGCAGATGAAACCTCAGAAGAGGATGAAGACCCAGTGGGGCAGCTGCTCCCATCCATCCCAAGAATCATAGAGTCATAGAAAGAGACTACAAGGGCCATCCAGTCCAACCTCCTGCTATGCAGGAAGACACAATCAAAGCACCCTCCAAAAAAGGAGACTCCACCACTCTCTGAGGGAGTGTGTTCTACTGTCGAATAGTTCTTACTGTCAGGAAGTTCTTCCTAATGTTGAGGTGGAATCTCTTTTCCTGTAGTATACTCTGGAGCAGCAAAAAAACAAGTTTGCTCCATCCTCAATATGACACCCCTCCAAATATTTAAAGAGGGATATCATATCACCTCTTTTTCCCCAGGCTAAACATACCCAACTCCCTAAGTCTCTCCTCAGAGGGCATGGTTTCAAGATTCTCTTGGCCTTACCCCTCCACCAGGCAGGGCACCTCTGTGATCAATTGGCTGTGGCTGCTGGTGGGGATGGGAGCCAGTGTGGTATAGTGATTTGAGTGTTGGAGTCCAGGGTTCGATTCCCAGCTTGGCCATAAGACCCACTGGGTGACCTTGGACAAGTCAGATGTTCTCAGCCTAGGGGAAAACAAATCTTGCCCAGAAAAAGCCCCAAGATAGGGTTGCCTTAGGGTTGCCATGAGTCGGAAAAGACTTGACGGTACACAATAACAACAACAAGATGGTAGGTTGGGGTGCTGCTGCTACCCAACAGCTCCTGAGTCTGGCAGGGATGCTGACTGAACAGGTAAAAGGCTGCCAGGTGACAGCAACAGTCTACCCTCACTGGTGAGAAAGGGCTGACTTCTGGCTCTGGCAAGTCTGCTGGTTGGATGGGAAAGCAAGTCATCTTTGCCATTCACCCAGCAACTCTGCCAGATCTGGAAAAGCTACAAAGTGGCAGTGGCAGTGGTGGGAAGAGGCTGCCTTCCGGGTCTGGCAGGTCTGCTGGCCAGGTGGGAAAGTTAGACGTGTCCTTTTGCCGTTCACCCATCAGCCACACCAGAACCAGAAAAGGATGCCATGTGAGGGCAGCAGTAGCCCACACCCACCACAGCTTAGGACATTGTTCTGAGTCAGACCTGACTGCTAGAAATCTCTTCTTTTTAGAAATGGGTTGATGTCA